TCGCTTGTACTGCATATGCCCCAAATAGCATTATTTGAAGAAGAAGAAGTCACAACACTAACTGACAAACTTGGAAGTGAGAAACTAGTGTAACACTCTTAATATAAAAGCTCTCTCTTGCTAGAAAAAGCAAAGTAAGATTCTGAATAAACTGGGCACCTCTGAATAATATCCAAACGATTGTTTATGGCAGCCCAATGCAGCAAAGAGCAACCGTCAGCATCCGTGGCATTTGGTTGCACGCCTTCTTTCAATGCCGCTTCCAAGGCTTCAATGCTGCCACGCTGACACGCCTCCACTGCTTGAGCAGTGGCTTCTTGAAGGTTCTGGCTCATTATGTCACAGCATTCAGCCACTGCTACATGGAATTCTTGGTTTTATTGTTAGGCTAATTGGTTGCGATCAGTTCATCAGGTAACATATGGCTGGTGGACCAATCGCATAAGCCTTTCTTGAACAAGAAGACGAGCACGTTTTTATTGACAAAAATGCAATTTTCGCATTCGCATGCTACATAATTAGTTAATTACAACTACAAACAACAACCTACATGAACTTGAAGCTAATTTGAAAGATGTACACTAAAATCTCTATACTAGCACAAAGACCACCGTAGTAACAAACCGGAGACATGTTTTCAAAGACCAGGACCACCGTATACGATGGGGAAAGAGTACTAGGTACATAATGACAGCTGAACAACCTATACGAAATGCTTAATATGAACGGATCTTTGGAGGGATCCAGTCTGTTTCGCTCTTGTCCAAAGTTTTGTCGATGACTGGGCGGTAGTCCAATTTCACATTGCCGGTGGGAACATCGACGTGGATCATGGTGTGCTTACGCCAATGCTCCTTGAAAAGAAAGAGATGAAAAATTCATCACCAGAAATGGACACCGTCTCAAAAAGGCGAATCAAATACGAAAAAAATCAAACTGGCACTACTGATGCGGCGAAGAAATTTGGCCGCTTCAGAGCAATGCTCTCCAGGAATTTATATGGAAGGTAGACAGAACAGACAAAGAAAATTGTTCTTACCTCAATTGGCTTCTTCTTTTGCCCTTCGACTGGCTTGCTATAATCATACTCGTCAATACGTTTGGGGAAATCGTCACGAGCATGGGCACCACGCGATTCCTGAAGAAAAGCGTAATGTGAGGTTCTTAATTCTTTGATTAGGGGCAGTCAGTACCTTTCTAGCCTCGGCAGCAACAATTGTCTGTATTCCATTGATAAGAAGATTTTGAAGCTCCAAAGTTTCTATCAGATCGCTGTTCCAGATCAAACTGCTATCCAACACATGTAACCTGTTAATCTCTTTGTAGATATCCTGCACTTTCTTGACACCTTCCTAAAATCCACGTCTTTGTACTTGAATGGCAGGGCTAAACACAAGTAAGTAAAGTTACATACCTGAAGGATATCGCCACGCCTAAACACAGCAGCGTGCTTCTGCATAGTTTTCTGCAACTGCAGCCTGACTTTCGCGGTAGACGGGCCATCCTACAAGATGAAAGCCGATATATTTGCTTTTTTTCTTGCAATGTTTACTTACCTTTCTGTGAAGCAGGGTATCAATGTTTTCAACAGATGACTCTCCAGCATCCTTTGGTAAATCTGGCACTCCAACACCGGGCTTAGTATGTTCGAGAATGCTAAAATGCGTTATATTTGGAGTAAAATCAGGTGGTATATTAGTACCTCAAGGCAGCAGCTCTTCCGAAAATGACAATGTCAAGAAGTGAGTTAGCTCCAAGACGATTTGCACCATGAACAGATTGCGCCGAGCATTCTCCAGCGGCATAAAGACCTGGCACAACCTGGTCGCCTTTTTCCTTAGTGTAGCTAATTACCTAAAAACTGTTAATCAGTAACTCCAATGAGGTGCAATCTTCATACTTCTCCTTTGTAGTTGGTTGGAATACCACCCATACAATAATGCACAGTAGGAATGACAGGAATTGGCTCTTTTGTGACATCTACATCAGCAAAGATCATGGCAGTTTCGGAGATACCTACAACAAGGAGGATGTAAACTAGAAAAAATCGTAAAGGGACTAAAGGCTACTCTAAGACGAAGGCGGTCGACTAGGCGAGGCGTGCGCGGGCGTACGAACCCATAAGATGCTCGAAGACGGCGCCAGCATATGCGTCGCGGAGTGAACCGACCGCCTTCGTCACGGATTAGCTTTCATACCCACGTCCGAAACATACCTGGCAGTCGTTCGTGAAGTTGTTGAGCAGGTAGATGGTGCAATTGCAGGAAGA